CCAGCCGCATGTCGCACTAGGAATATTGAGAGGGATGGGGTATTCGTCGATCGTGGTAGGAATTGGCCTTTCGTCGCGGCGGCGCGTGTCCACCGGCCTACTTCGGCGCGCCCCTCAAACGGATAGCGCCCGATGAGGGAGCTCCACCTATGCCCGCAAAGCGGGAGCTCGCGCGCGCCCCCTTGCACCTATGGACACGCGCCCGCCCGCGCACCTCACGTGGATCGCGCCCAATACGGAACTCCAGCTCTGTCTCTCCCGCGACGCGCAATGCAGGAGGAGAGGACCACATCTTGCGCTTCGCACTGCTGCGAAGTCCTGGGCCCTTCGCGTGGCTGATCAATCTGTCTTTTTCTCGGTCGGCAGCGCCGCGCAATAATTCGCTTCGCTAAAAGACGCAGTTCCGGCTCTCAGAATGCGCGCGCGTGGCCGCCGACGTGCAATGCCGCGCCGCGCCCGCGTGCCGTGCTTGGGTTCGAACGTGCGAATCGTCAACTTGCCGCGCCGTGCCCGCGGGCCGCGCCGCGCCCGCGGGCCGCGCCGCGTCTGGTTTTGAGCGCGCGAACAAATTGCAATGCCGTGCCGTGCCCACGCGCCGGGCCCAGCCGTGCGCGGTTTCGGGAAGGCGGTGTCAGGGCGCGGAGATGCTGCCGCCAAGGTGCCGTGCTGGGGCTCCAGAGCGCAAAATGAGTGCTGCCAGCGTGCCGTGTAATGCGGGCCTCGGAAGAAATGAGCGAACACTCCTGCCGCATTCATAAGTCAATGCCGCCCGCCTTCCCAATGGTCAATGTTGGCGGTGGGTCGGATAAATTGCACATCGACCGCAGTCTTCACCGCGCGTGCCAACTTTGAATTTCCCTCTACCGTGCCGTGCCGCTCTCTCAGCATGCGACGCAAATGCAGCTCGCGTGCCCTGCCCAGCCGCGCCTGGGTTTCAGAATGTGGAGGTGTTGCCGCCCGTGCAGTGTCGTGTCTTCGGGGTGCGAAGATATCACCGCCCGCGTGCCGTGCAATGCCGTGCCACCAGAATGCGACGAAGCCGCCGTCCGCATGCCGTGCCCAAAGGTGTTTCTTTTCCGGGTGCGAAGCAATTGCCGCCCGCGTGCCGCGCCCGGTTTCCAGGTGGCCCGCGCGCCGTGCGATGCAGGTTGCGGCTCCTTGTTGGTGAAGAACGAAGACATTGCCGTCCGCATGCCGCTTGCCGTGTCCATCCGTGCCTGGTGCTCAAAACGACGAGAAATTGCCACCCGCGTGCCGTGTCCAATTTTCAGGATGCCCGCGCGCCGTGCACTGCAATTCTATATGTTGCCCATAGAAACAGCGAACACATTGCCGTCCGCATGCCGCGTCCATCCGTGCCCAGCGCTCAAATCGCGGAGCAATTGCCGCCCGCGTGCCGCGCCCGGGTTTGCAAGGTGCCCGCGGGCCGCGGCGCTGGAGTGATTCCTGATGAAATTCGGCAAAAAATTCGGGCCGCGCGCCGTGCCCGACCGATAGTCTGGTCTTCATAGATTCTAAAGCTTTGCCACGCGCGCGCCGTGTCGCGCCCGCGCCTGGTGCCCAGGATGCAGAGACTAAGATGTCGCCCGCGTGCCGCGCCGTGTCCGCGCTGTGCTCGTCTGCCCGAATGCGAGCGAGTTGCCGCCCAGACTGCGAAACTCTTGCATGCCCAACTGGCGCTGGGTATGCCATCTCCGAGGAAAGAGCTGCGTTAGCTCTTGCGGCGCTGCCCGCCCGCGCCAGACGCGCTCTCTTTCAGGTTGACTTGCCGCGTGTGTTCTCATCCAGCGTTGTTGTTTAGGGCCTCTGCGTGCGGTGTAAGTCACAGGTGGCCGCGTCTCCAACGCGCGCGCCACAAGGCGAGGGGCGGTGATGACTCGCCGCGGGTGTCGTCAATCTTCCAGGCGTCCCCAATGTCTACACTCACACGAAACAGTATGAGTTCAAGAGAAAAGCCGCGCGCGCGAATCCGAGCCTAGATGCAAAATCGCACTCTTGGCCCCGCGGGGCCGAAACTACATGCAACGTCGCCTTCGGGGCCCTGCAAAAAACGCCGCCCAAGCCGCCTTGGAGGCCCCGTGGTGAGCCCCCGCCGCGGCCCCCAAACCCGCTCCAGACGTCAGCGCACAAGCCGTCGGAGGCTAGCCGGCCTCGCTTTTCCCAGCAAGCCTCTCCTCCGGACACTCGCGGGTGCATCCCTAATTCCCAACCCTCCTTGGTTGGGTATTCGTTTTGAATAGAGCAGTGTGGTCGCGTCCTTCCTCCTCCCGCCTCCCGCCTCCCTCCCTGCCTCTTCCTGTCTTGCCTGCGGGGGGCTGCGATCTGTGAAACTGTCGCCATTTTCGAGGCCTGCTGGGGGGCCCAGCACAGTGAGGGCCACGGGCAGATTCAAATTAGACCTCGCCATCCCTGGGGGGGCTGCGATCTGTGAAACTGTCGCCATTTTCGAGGCCTGCTGGGGGGCCCAGCACAGTGAGGGCCACGGGCAGATTCAAATTAGACCTCGCCATCCCTGGGGGGCTGCGATCTGTGAAACTGTCGCCATTTTCGAGGCCTGCTGGGGGGCCCAGCACTGAGGGCCACGGGCAGATTCAAATTAGACCTCGCCATCCCTGGGGGGCTGCGATCTGTGAAACTGTCGCCATTTTCGAGGCCTGCTTGGGGGCCCAGCACAGTGAGGGCCACGGGCAGATTCAAATTAGACCTCGCCATCCCTGGGGGGCTGCGATCTGTGAAACTGTCGCCATTTTCGAGGCCTGCTGGGGGGCCCAGCACAGTGAGGGCCACGCGCAGATTCAAATTAGACCTCGCCATCCCTGGGGGGCTGCGATCTGCGAAACTGTCGCCATTTTCGAGGCCTGCTGGGGGGCCCAGCACAGTGAGGGCCACGGGCAGATTCAAATTAGACCTCGCCATCCCTGGGGGGGCTGCGATCTGCGAAACTGTCGCCATTTTCGAGGCCTGCTGGGGGGCCCAGCACAGTGAGGGCCACGGCGGATTCAAATTAGACCTCGCCATCCCTGGGGGGCTGCGATCTGTGAAACTGTCGCCATTTTCGAGGCCTGCTGGGGGGCCCAGCACAGTGACCTCGGGGGGCCACGTGAGCACAGGCCACGGGCAGATTCAAATGAGACCTCGCCATCCCTGGGGGGGCTGCGATCTGTGAAACTGTCGCCATTTTCGAGGCCTGCTGGGGGGCCCAGCACAGTGACGCCACGGGCAGATTCAAATTAGACCTCGCCATCCCTGGGGGGGAGCGATCTGTGAAACTGTCGCCATTTTCGAGGCCTGCTGGAGGGCCCAGCACAGTGAGGGCCACGGGCAGATTCAAATGAGACCTCGCCATCCCTGGGGGGGTGCGATCTGTGAAAATGTCGCCACTTTCGAGGCCTGCTGGGGGGCCCAGCACAGTGACGCCACGGGCAGATTCAAACGAGACCTCGCCATCCCTGGGGGGCTGCGATCTGTGAAACTGTCGCCATTTTCGAGGCCTGCTGGGGGGCCCAGCACAGTGAGGGCCACGCGCGGATTCAAATTAGACCTCGCCATCTCTGGGGGGGTTGCGATCTGTGAAACTGTCGCCACTTTCGAGGCCTGCTGGGGGGCCCTGCACAGTTACGCCACGGGCATATTCAAACGAGACCTCTCCATCCCTTGGGGGCTGCGATCTGTGAAACTGTCGCCACTTTCGAGGCCTGCTGGGGGGCCCAGCGCAGTGACGCCACGGGCAGATTCAAATGAGACCTCGCCATCCCCTGGAGGCTGCGATCTGTGAAACTGTCGCCACTTTCGAGGCCTGCTGGGGGGCCCGCACAGTGACGCCACGCGCGGACCCAAATTAGACCTCGCCATCCCTGCGGGGCTGCGATCTGTGAAACTGTCGCCACTTTCGAGGCCTGCTGTGATCACCATTTTCGAAGTGGCTAGGAGTGCCCAGGAATTGTAACTCATCAGTTTTATCAAACCCTTTTCCTGTATCCAGTGTCCTGCGAGTCTCCCGAATTCCGGCTGCAGACATATGCAACCCTCGCTCCGTCATCGCCCCCTTATCACGTATCCTAAACTATTTGCGCCCCGCTTTTGCGCAGGGGTTGGGTACGTCGCCAGGGTAATTTTTTTTGGGGGCCCCTTCCTTCCTGTTTGGCAGGTTTGGTTCCCGTGTCCCACGCTTCTGGTGGCCGAGCGCTTCCAAAAACCTAGCAATATGAAGCTTGCCCCTGGTGTTCGGGTATTCGTGGGCTCCTCCTATGCGCATTTCCCATGTCGGGCTTTCGACTCCCCTTCTGCGTCCTCATTGCAAACAATCAAGCGACTTGGTGCGATTTGGATATCCGGCCCGAAGTCTCGACTCGCACCAAATTGCATGACTGTCGAACCAGACGGCCGACGGGCCGTCGGTGCAGCCGGCCTGAGGCAGGGAGGCGTCGGCGGCAGCTCACGGGGGATGGGCGCGCCATCGGGCGCCCGGAAGCAAATGCAAAACCCCGCGAGGGCATCCGAGAAGGTTCCGAATCGAGGGTCTCAACCTCCTCGCGGGCGTGGGGGGCCGCGGATCCGGATGCGGGCCCTCGGCGGATCCGATGCTTTTTGACCGGGTCCAGGCGGTTGGAGTTGTGCAAGAGCAATATGTTTAGAACGGATCCTGTCGGACTGATGTGCCCTTGTATAATGCTACTTCAGGGCGGCGAAGGTCCCCGAGGACGACTTGCGCTGGAGGCATGGGGCAGGGGCGACTGAGGCGTTCCTTCTAGCACAAATCTGCGTTGCTCTTTTGTTTTGCGACGTTTTGCCCGTCGCGCGTTTTGACCAGTGGTTCTTCTCGTTGCCGCCGTCGTCGTCGTCGTCGTCGTCGTCGTCGTCGCCATCGCCGCCGACCCCGTCTTCCGTCCGTCGCCATCGCCATCGCCGTCGTCGTCGTCGTCGTCGTCGTCGTCGTTGTCGTCGTCGTCGTCGTCGTGGCGGTCTTCCCACTGACCTGCGCGCTTCTGCTCCCACTTTTTCCCCGCTTCAGTCCAGTTCGCGCCCGCGCTGCGACGTCGCTCTGTTGGCGAACGTCGCAGAGTCGCAGAGACTACTTTTTCAAGCGGCTGCCGTCTCTGTCCTTCAGCAGCTTCATGCGCGTGAAGCAACCTCTTGTCCAACTCGCCCGTGGGATCTCCAGACCATGCCCAGACGTGCTCGCACACGCGCGCTTTCCCCAGGTTCAGACCCCGCTCCTGCATAGACGCAATCGTGCTCAACATCAATCATCTCGTACCGACATTACCTGACTGTCTGTAGGCGCCCAAGGTCAAAGCACTTCCAAACGCTCGGGGGGTCTTCCCAAAGCCGCCGAAGAAATTCTAACGTGCTCCCAGACGCGCCGCCCTAGGAAGGCCCAAGGCCAACCGCAAGGCGGCCGAAAGGAACCGCATAACATCGTTCACATTACACCTCGGCCCTGAAAACATTTCGCTTGAACTGATCAAAAGGTGTTCGTGCTGTTTGCCTTTATGCAATGGCTTTCTTAAGCAGAAAAGCTATGTAGCTATCGGCAGCTCGGAACCTTCATCGTTTCGCAGAGCGGTTTCAACGAGCGTCACTTCAGGACTGCACTGTCTCTATGGTACTCTTCATACGTGCGTGCGTACTACCAACGTTGTAACGTTGTCCAGCCACCCGAGCAAATTTCCTACCTGTCTCCAACCCCTCCGATGCCCCCCCCCGAAGTTTCAAACATTTCGTCGCACCTTGTTCATGCCCCCCCAACCAAAGGAGGAACATAAAAACAGGAAATGGGATGAGCGCTTGCGGGCGGAATCGGCGATAACCATCACGAACAAATGCTATACGAGAGCGCTGAAAATGCAATGGATACGCTTGCGACGTTCTGCAGCTGCCAAATGCGAAAACTGCTTCACCTGGCTACGTGCGGAAGGCAACCGGCAACCGAATTTACCCAGTGAAGGGAGGGAAGGAAGGTAAGCTGGAAGAAGAAAAAAAAAAGAGATATGGGGGCGGGAATCGGAGGATGAGGAGGAGGGGGTCGCAGGGGAGGATATGGCGAAGGATGGAGAGGTGGAAACACTATAGGATTCAAGCTGCAATGCGCACTGGTGGGAAGACGCATAGCGAGACCAGAGCAAGGGACAGAGAGAGAGGGAACGGGAGAGAGAGAGAGAGAGAGAGAGCGAGAGAAACAAACAATGAGCATGAAGAGAGACGACGGAAGGGCGAACGCCGAGTCTTTGAGAACTTCCAATCACCTCGAACTCGTCCTCTTGCACGCCCTCCCACGACTCGCCACGGAGGGGCAAACCGCTGACCCACTCGAAGGGTGAAGCCGAAACATGCAAGACTAGTCGAAATGCCGTGTACATCGAGCCAACACCTTTAGGGCACTCTCACTCCGCCGCTCCTTGCTTCAATTTGTATCCTCCTTGTCCTCGCCGTCGTGGGCACAACTGCCCTCGTTGTCGCCGTCGCCATCGCCGTCTCAGCGGTCGCCGATGTCGTCGTCGTCGTCGTCGTCGTCGTCGTCGTCGTCGTCTTCGCCGTGTAGCTGTGCGTCTCTTTGCGACTCTGCCTCTCGTCTGGCCGCTCTGCTTTCTTTACTGCCTCTTTGTCTGTCCGCCTGCTTCCAACCGACCCGGCACGCCAAGTCTGGGACACTTGGCCCGAAGACACCTTGGAGCGTCTCCACGGGGCAACTGCGTAAAAGAAGCCAAGAGTCCCGTGCAGGGATGATGCAAATTGCCAGCTTTCCCACTGGCGGAGATGGGACGCCACCGCGCGAAGCCCCAGCCACGGAGAGGCCGAGGGGAACCCGACGGGCTGACGCTGGAAGCTCGCCGAGTGGCAGGATATTTTCCAAGGGCAGTTCCACAGCAAAAGTATTCCACAACGTGCCCTCGTGAAGAGGACACTGGTAAGCGTTGCCCAAATATTCCGGATTCCATAACAAAGTGTGGGGGGGTCACATTCGGGGGGGGGGGGGGGTCTAATTTGAGCTGTCTTGGAGGGTTCGGGGGGGGTCTGGGCAAAGGGCCCCCCTTTGATGGATAGTCTGGGGGGTCTAAAACGTCTCGTCTGGGAGGGTTGTGACCCCCTCCCTTTTATTTCGAAATCTGGAGTATTCAAGGGAACGCCATCGTCATCAGTATCCTCTTCACGAGGGCGCGTTGCAGAACACCTTTCCCGTGCACTGCCCCTGCAGGTAGGAGGTGGGCCGCCTGCAGGATCCGGGAATCGCTTGCGCTGCAAGAGTGCATGCTGCTGCCCGCCCGCCCTCTGGGGACTTCGACCACCCACTATCCTCGAGGCTTCCCCGGCGTTGGTCCGATACAGTCGAGGCGTTGACCTAAGGAGCCCTAAATAAGGAACGAGGCCCCTATTTTCCATAAGTTGAACTTCGATTTCGTATCGAAGACCTAAGGCAAATCCAGGGCAAGCTGTGAAACAATCAAGGAACACCGAGCCCCTCCCCAACGAAAAGGGTTCCTTCTTCAGCGCCCCGACTGTAGTCCGATATCTCGTGCGCCTTTCGTGGGCCACAGAAGCGGCGGGGCTTTTTTACGCCATTCTCGAGGCGCTGACCCTTGATCATGAAGACGGCGCAGGAACGATCCACAGAAACGGTGAAGAAACGGTTCACCGGAACGGTCTGGGCAAACTGGGGGGATCCGAAAGACGTTCGGAACTGGTTCGAAAACAACTCGGGTCCGGTAACAAAACTATGATCTGGGCCAAACCCCCATCAAAGGAAACGGAACCTTCGAAAGCACGGCGCCAGAAACGCTAAGAGAACGGAACAACGAGCACGATACGAAGAACTGCTCTGTCGCTCCCAGGGCCCCCTAAATCTACGCCAATACTTTGTCACTTGCTCTGTACTTGAGCGGCTGATCAACTGGGCCGTGGGTAATTAAGTAATTTGGCATGAGGTGCGTGAGGTGTTCCCCGACGCCATTTGTTAAAGCATTTTCAGAAATGTCTCCTGCCTCCTCGCCCCGCCTTCCCCTCTGCTCGCCTCCGAGGCTGCCAGCCTGTAGCGGGAAAGCCCTTTGTTCGTGAGCGGGCCGGCCACGCTCTCGCCTCTTCCATCCCCTCGCGACATAACATGCATGCCTCTGATTTGCACATCACGCCTGATTAACTTGCAGGCTGACCAAATCAAGTGTGAGAACCCACAGTATCCTGTCTCTGCTACCTTTCTATGATTTTCTATCATTGTCACACAATCTGTGTCAGTGGCTGTGCTCACGTCTATGTCCGTGCCTATATACTTGTCAGTCTAAGGCGCGCAGAGCTGCCAGCGTCTACGTCTGTGCCAAAGTCTACCTGTATCTCTGCTCGACACGTGCGTGCCATCGCCCAAGCTCTCCACCTCACGCCTGGGGACCTCGATCCTGACCCTGACGAAGGCAGGTTGCACTAACCACTCGGAATGATATGGCCGTCTCCAGAAACCCTGGATCCAACCATGCTGTCGTCTCACTCCAATAAAACAAGAAACAACGCCATAAACATAAACTTTTGGCACGCCGCGCGGATTTCTTGGATCTGCGCTGGACCCCCCTCCCTGGCGCGCGGAGCGCGCCAGGGGCGGCGCCGGAGGCGCCGCCGGGGGCGCCCAGCGCGGATCCAAGAAACCCTCGTGGAGCGCCAAAGCTTGTGTTCATGGCGTCGTCTCTTCGTCGATTTCACCTCCGCCGCCTTCCGACGGCCTCCGGCCTTCCGCTGGCGGGCCCGCCGCAGCCCCACACAGGCGCTGGCCTCCGCCGATGGCAAGCAGGGGCGGGCCGCAGGCGAGGCCCCTTCACTGGAGCGCGCGGCCCGTGCTCCAAAAGGGAAGGGAGGGCTGGGCGTCGGCGGGGCGCCAGCCGCTCGAAGTGCAGCTGCACCGTCTCCGTGTACTGCCGCCAGCACACGTCGCGCTGCGCGCCCCTGAGGAGAGCAGTTGTCGTTTGACGGGCGAAGAACGGTATAAAATAAACTTTTCGCTGTCGGGGGCGCCTGTCCCTGGGCGGCTGGAAAGTTTATACCCACCGTAGGGGTATAAACTTTCCAGCCGCCCAAGGACAGGCGCCCCCGACAGCGAAAAAGTTTATTTGATACCGTTCTTCGCTCGCTGAGTCGTGCTGGGAAGGAGGGTTTGGGAGGATGACGGTTGTGAGCAACAGCATCCGGATGCGATGAACGATACCTTCGGTCGCCTGCGGGTAAGGATATTGTCATCTCTCCCGCCCCCAGCCTCCCAACCCGATTGTTGTCTTCCTGAGGCCCTGCCCGGGGCACAGATCGGGGACGGCCGTGCCTGCTCCTTACGACCCGCTCACCCGCAGTGGCAGACCTCGAGGGGCGCCCCTTCAGATCGAGGCCGACCTGGAGACTCGGGTGCCCTGCCTATCTGGGGGGCCCCTGCTCTTAGCGGTGAAGGGAAGCAAGGGCCCGCACTGCAGAAACGATTCCCGGTGGTAAGACAGGGTGTCGGCTCTCTGGCTCCTGCGGGGATCTTGCATTCCCGGTGACCGTGTGCGGGGGCCTGCTGCTTGTGACGAACGATCATGCAGGCACAGCGAGCAAATGAAGAGCGTTAGGGTGCACCTAGCACGGCCACGGAAAGAAACCAATTAATCATACTGACGAATGCAACGCAGGACGTCCGAAGCACTGTGCCGTGCGGATGGCTTTATGCGTACTACGACCAGAAAAAAGGTTGACCAAATCGCAAGTCCCCTCCCGTGTCCTGACCCCGCTGGCTGCAAACCGCCTTGCGACTACCCATGAGCTTGCGATCGGCTGCCAATTTCTTAGCTCAAACATGTCCGCATTGAACAGTAATGCCAATTATGGCGGTCGTTGCGCCCTTAGAGGACTCTGGCAAGGCGCAATTCACAATGCATATCCTGGGGTCCAGTCTACCCTCCTTCGAGTCCTTTGGGGAACCCTGCCTGAAACCATCCAGTCGGCTGCCTGTATCTTTGAAGCTTCTCATGTGCTCTGATCTGCTGTCCGACTGCGCTGTCCTATGCGGACTCTGTTCATTCTGGCTCTGCCTAGCGAAATATTCCTGAGCCTGGCATGGCAACCCTGGTCTGACAAGAGATGATTTCGAGAGCCGATGCTTGGATTGACGCCACCCTGCCTGTCGTAATATTCTTCGCTAGTTCTCCTTGCGACCCACCATCGCCAACTGTGGCATGAAAGCATGCGACTAGCCGTGCCCCCACGAAGAAATAACGGAGTGGGGTCGGGACGTGCGCATCAACGCACTGACGTATAACGATGCAAGGCGTGACATGGTGGTGGCAACTCGCAAGCCCTTCGTTCCCCGGCCAACTGTCCTCTCTGGTGCCATTGGCAGGTCCCGCAGGCGGAAGACGGGCAGCGCAGACGCGCCCTCCCCTCGTCTTGTCTCGCGGTGGCAACGGCATGTGTGCTACCAGCCGCGAGTCCTCGTCGCAAGCCCTGACGAGCCGCCACGTTCGTGTCACGTTTTGCTCCCGACTCCTAACCGTCCGAGGGGACAGCCAGACGCCAGACGAGCGAGTTCCGACGCTCAGAAACTCTGCGTGCCTCGATAGCCGTGTGCACACTTACGGACTTCAGCCTGGTGCGCACATTGATTCGAGAACAGACCCGACACAGGACTCTCCGCCGCCAAGACGATCTCCGAGACCGCCAGCAGGCCTCCAAGAAGCCCCCCAGAGGCGCCAGGAGCCCCACAAGAAACCCACATCAGGCACCAACAGGCTCCAAAGTAGCCTCCGGGAGGCCCCTTCCCAAGAGACCCCAAAGACCCCTGGTCCACCACCAAGGCACAATGGCGAGATGGGCCGAGTGCCACTTCATACTTTTTCGCAGGAGTATGCCCAGGCTGGGTCCAGCCTCGCACCGGACGATATGACTTCACGTGAAGGATGGCCGCTGGGTCCAGCAACAATGAAAACACACATGGAATATGCCTACGGGCGGATGCGGTCTAGTCTGGTCGAGGGGGGAGGCGGATTGTTCTCAGAAAATACGGACCACACTTTGGACTCGCGTCGTGTGTGGGAAGGAGGGGGAGATCGAGCGAGAGAAACAACGCTTTTCATAAGCGTGCTTTTTACGCGTGCGTCGTACCTTCACTGCGCGCGATGTACAGGTGTTCTCGTAACCTTTGCTCTCCATCTGTCCCCGCCCACCCACCATGAACCACACACCCACCCACTACCCAGCCGACACCCTCGCACCACCAACCTTACGCCTATTTACCACCAGCCACCCACTCGGCCACGGACGCCCCCTGACCACCCAACCACAAATCACCCACCATCCCCCGCCACGCACCCGAAATCCGCGCAGCACGCAACCACTACCAACCCATCACCCACCTACCAACCACCGTTCGCCCATCTTCCGTCCCCCGAAACCACCCACCATCCAGCCAGCCAGCCAGCCACCCACGCACTGCACACCCACCACCCGTCTCCGCTCCCCGTCCGCCACGCACTCGGGCCCCAGACGGAACGCGCTCGGCCTCCCTGGCCCCCCGGACGCTCCATGCAAGGCGCTCCCTCGGCCGTCTGAGCTTCGTGGACATCCCTGGTGGCCCTCGCAGACAGGCCCAGAGCGGTCAGGAGGCTGGCCACACGGCCCCGGGGGAGCCCAAACCGTCCCCAGTCCGAAGACAGCCCAAGTGACACTGCAAGCGGCCCCTCACGTGAACAGAGCAATGGCTTTGATACGGCTGTTATGCTCATGTAGATGCTCGGTCCGTCGGTCTTCTGGGCGTCCGAGATCGTCTGAGAGGCACCGAGCGTAGTCCCAAAACGACCCAAATGAGCCTGCATTCAATCCAAGAGAGCCCCAAGACGGCCCAACACGGCCCCGATATGGCCCGAAGAGAGCCCCATGACAGCTCAAGAGAGCCCCAAGCCGCACTCCGAAACACTTCAAATCGTGACCCGGTCGTTCAGGGAGACCGTGTTTCGCAGCAAGATGGCCTGAGAAGCTCCCAGAGGCCCCCCAAAGGTGCCAAGGAGGCTTCCAGAAGCCCGCAAGGATTAACCTCCTCAGAAGAGCTGAGGAGGCCAGGGAAAGGCTCGCAGGACAAATGGCGAGAAAAATGAAGTATGAGGGGAGGAGAAACAACACATATTATAAAGACGGCGACGAAAACGGCAACCAAGAGTTACCGCTGCTTCTATCCAAATGAACTTGCCTAAAGGAATCCGAGCTCAAGCTATAGAGATCTCGTCCACTGCTCCTTCTATTTTGCCCTTGCAATCGTCAAGTTATCCGAGTGGCTTCCTCTGCATCCGCATGGCTTCCTCTGCTATTCCAATGGCTTCCTGTGGCTATTCCAGTGGCGTCCCAACAATCCTCCGACCATCGTCAAACTCATAAGTAGAGTAGAAAGAAATAGAAGGGTGAATAGAGTAGAACGAAATAGAGTAGAGTGGACTCGAGTAAAGCAGAGTATGAACATAATAGGGATATAGCATGTTAGGGTATAATCAGGTCGAGTAGAGCAGGAGTACAGTAGGGCAGAGCAATGTAGATGGTAGAGTAGGGTCGGTAGAACAGAGTGGAGCGAACTATACCAGAGTAGGGTATAGTAGGTTTGGGTAGTGCAAAATTAGGTCAACTGTAACATAAACTAACAAGGCAGATGGTATAACATATCCGGGTATGGGGACACTGTATCATAATGCAACAAGGTATCGCCGAAGAGAGTCGGGTAGAGTGAGAGTATAGCAGAGTATGTGATCGTATTTGTAAACAGAATAGAATTGGAATCGGGTAGAGTAGGAATATACTATGGTATGATAGAGCGAGGTCGAATAGAGCAACATAGAGCCGAGCCGGGTGGAATTGAGTAGACAATAGAGTCGAGTGGTGGAAAAGAGTCCACCCCAGTCCAGCCACGTCTACTCCAGTCCAGTCTACTTCAGCCTACTTCATTTCGATCTTTTTTGGTATGTTTGGAATCTGCGCAAACTGATCTTCCTTAACTCCGTCTCTCTCATTCGGGCCGCAAGCCGACGTTGGAACACCAAACTGCATTGGCGCGACGCGCCAATGCAGGCGTGTGTAATGTCTATGTATACGCGTCTGCATGCTTTTGTATATATAGAATTCTGTACATGCATCTGTATTTATATGTCTACAACATCTTGTAATTCGCGCCCTCCACCTTTTATGGTCTGCTCCCTGCCTGCCCGTCGACACTCCTGCTCTCTCTCCGGCCAGAGCTCACCTCTCCCTGCCCGCCAGACTGCGCGCCATGACGGCTGGGCCAGCTGGGGAGCTCAACCAATCGTCTGGCAAAAACGGCTGCATCACATAGACAACAAATCAAACGGTACCGCAATGACCGAGCGGATCAGCAGAGCTTGGGTGAATCACCGTCAGGCGGGTTCAAGCGAGCGTAGCCCGACTGGTGGTTGGCAGGATCGGAAGGAAAGGCAGAGGAGATTGGAGCGTGTTCGTTCGGCACAAGAGTGGCGCTCGAAGGCGACAAAGCACGAGCGACGTGGCGCCCGAATCTCAAACATACCGTCGCGCATAACCAACGCACTTGTTTCAGCCGCGGGTGAAGCCAATGGATTCAATGTGTGGTGTCTATGTGGTGGTGCATCGACACCGTAGGACTGCGAACCACCTCCCTGCTGTGGCCAACCCGACAAGACAAACATTGACCTGACCAATGGGCAAGAGATGTTTCAGATCCAGCAGGCAATTTCCCACAGTTTGTTACTTGCGAAGTGGCTCGACCGTGTTTCGGTCAAGAAGCGGCAGCTGGCCCCTTGGCCACCCACGGGATGGGCATCGCATCCAACACGGCCCTACATCAACCACAATGGCCCTCAATGCCTTCAGTGCAGTCTAATATATTTCAACCACGTCTCAAGATGGTCGACCAAACTTCCCTCAGGCTCGCCTAAAACCATCTAGCGGCGATATGGGCATCAATTCAGTTATCCGTTTCGAGCCTTCATGGGTCATTCACGTCCTGAGATGGACCTCAACGAACCCTAGATGGCCCCAAGATCGCCTCAAGAAGTGCCACGATGGCCTCAAAGCGGCCCCCGGGCTTTCAAGACCCCACGCGTTGGGATCAAGATGGTTTTGCTGCCTCTTCTGCCGTTTTGGGACTCTCTTTGAGCTGCCGGGGGCCTCCTCTGGGCCCTCCTGTGGCGTCGATGCCGCTTGGGGCTCTTCTCTTGGGCCGTCCTCAAGCCGCTATCTGCTGCGAGTTGGTGGCGTTTCCGTAGTGCCTTTGCCTTCCTGTGGGGTCCTCGGCTGCCGCCAAAACGCGAAGACGCCAGGCACATGCGCGCAAGGACTTCGCTGCGGCGCCCTGCCCGTCCGCGGGCCTCGCCCGTGCAGGACTGCACCAGGTTGGGCTTGCCTGCGGCGGCTTCACGTCGCAGTGCTGTCGGGCGTTGGCTTCCGACACCGTGTGGATCGCTCCACCTGGGAAGATCGCAGCTTTCCGATAGCCCCGATCGTTCGGCATCGGCCGATCCCGGGCCACCGTTGGCGTTTCAGCCTTGGCCGCCCGCGCTGGGGCCGCCGCCGCGTCGGCGGGGGCGAACCTGCCGCACCGAGGTGCAAGTCTCAAACACAGGTTCGACTCGCTTGCAAGCTGGAGGAATGGGCAACAAGCTCGCGCATTCCGCTGGCACCAGCTCTGGCGCTGGCTCCATTCGTCACGAAGGCTCCCCGCCTGGAGGCTCCAATCTGATTCTATGGGAGCCCCAGGCGGTCTCAAGAGGGCTCCAAGCTGATGCAAAGCATCCCGATTTGTCCCCAAGAGGGTAACCTATTGCCAACATTGTCTAAAGATGACCTCAGGGATGGCCCCAATGTCCCAGCACTGTTAATGCGTACCCATGTTCACACTTTATTCTTCAGCGTAATCACGGAGGCAGGGTCAATTCTATAAAGAGTGAGGGGGCCGGTTCTACAGCCTTCCCTGAGCACAGGCTCCCCCCAGAACATCAGCCAGACACAGTGGGTTTGTACCCTCATGCCTTGCTGGACTCTGAGCGTGTTTCGGCACGCCACTGCCTTTAAATAACGGACAAGGAGGAGGAGGAGGAGGAGGAGGAGGAGGAGGAGGAGGAGGAGGAGGAGGAGGAGGAGGAGGAGGAGGAGGAGGAGGAGGCGGAGGCGGAGGCGGAGAAAGGGCTCTTCCTTTCGTACATGCTCACCGCCTGCTGCACTCGTGAAGTCGTCGAGCTGACTTCTTTACCCCAGAGAATGCCGCTGCTGCTGGTCGCCGTCGTTCCGCTTGAAGAGCTGGTGGTCGTCGTGCAGGGTGACCTTCGCCCAAATGAATAGCGATGCCAGCCCGATGGAGTTAACCGCCAACAGCACGAAGACGCCGATTATCAGCTTAGTCCTGAAGTCCTGGGTTAGGTGCCAGGAGCCGCTCACTGCCAAGCTGGAGGCCATCAGACAGAGGTTCAACACCCAAAGCGAGACGGCTTCAATACTGTTGAGAAGATCCAGCTTGTACGGCAGATTTCTCAAATGCCAGGCGGTGAACGAGAACATGAGGCACGAGACGAGGGTGAGCTGAAGCCCAGGACAGTACGACAACGGCGATACTGCCACGAAACACTTCAAGCTTATGTTCCTTAAGAGGCGGTTGACCTCCCACCCCTCCTGCTCTGGACGATATGAGGCAGTGAGGTATCGCACGTACTGTCCTCTCCTCCCTCCTGCAGAGCGACGGAGCAGCCACAACCAGAGTCCAGGTCCAGCAGTAACTGCCAGAGCCAGAACAGGAACTCGCACGGCCAAATATCGCACGCGCTCTCCGCAACCCTCCGACGTGGAGAAGGCCATCAGCGATCTCCCGGTGACGTCCGCCGTCTGCGTGTGGTAGCAGGGCGCGGCGATCGCGCACGCCGCCGCGACGCCGGGCAGATACTGGTTGCCCGAGACCACCGCGAGCGTCATCAGATCCTGCGCGACTTCTTTCAATCGGCAACCGATGCCGTCCTGATCGTGACTCGCTCAAGCGTGATTGCCTGGGGCGGCCCAGAGCCGCCCCTAAACCCTAAACCCTAAACCCTAAACCCAGGAAGTTCAGGGGAAACTCCGGGGCGGCTCTGGGCCGCCCCACGGGGCCGCGCCTCGCCTGTCACGGGGGAAGCAAAAAAGGTACCCCTGCCGCTGCTCCCCGCACCTTGGCCCGGGTGCGTTCGGACCAGGATCTCGAGGCGAAGCCAGCAGTGGCGACGAGGGCCTGTCAGGAGGCGCCCCAAAAAGGGGAGAACGAGTGAAGGGGAGCGGTGTCAATGCACTTGCCTCTCCGGATGTACGAAATTGCCCGAAGACGGCCGGAACGGCCACTCCGAGGAGTCCTATCCATTTCTCGGAGGCGCCAGCTGGCGCACCAGGTGGCGATGAGGCTGCGACGGGGCGGCCATGGGCGGCGACCAAGTGAAAGCCAGGAAGCCCACGGCAACCACTTAGAAAACACTTAAACCTGTAAGTGCGAGCGCAATTTGGGGAAATTGTCTGGTATGATCCTGCACGCCTCCATGGGAACATTCGGATAGGGAGCAGAAAGAGCATGTACCGAAATCAAGCCCTGGGCAATTTCCAGCCTGGGCAACAGGATGTCTTGCGGGACATGGGCCCTGGTGGTGAAAAGATCCAGTTAGTTCCTTCCGTGAGGCATGGAGCCTGGTCACAAAACTGCCCCTGTTTGTCCAAGCCGCAGGCCGTCCGACCCGTCAATCAGTATCACAAGCGTTCTCCCGTGCCACTTCTGGAAAAAGGAATTCGGCATAAACATTATCCCAGTGCGACCCTACCTAGGAGTTGGAGCCCCTAGGAAAGCAGCATTAGTAGTAACAGTAAAGCTAAGCTGAAGCTAAGATACAACTAAGCTAAAACTAAGCTAAAGCTAAGCTACAGCTAAGCTATAGCTAAGCTAAAGCTAAGCTAAAGCTAGGCTAAAGCTAAGCTAAAGCTAAGCTAAATATAAGCTAGATCTAAACTAAAGCTAAGCTACAGCTAGGCTAAAACTAAGCGAACGCTAAGGTAACACCAAGGTAAAACTAAGCTAAAACTAAGCTAAAACTAAGCTAAATCTAAGGTAAAACTGAGTTAAAACTAAGCTAAAGCTAAGCTAAAGCTAAACTTAGCTAAGCTAAGCTGGGTGAACCCAGGGGGCGCAACTGGGAGAACCGCGGGGCGGATACTGGGGGAACCGCCCGGGGCGCTTTCCACTGCACGGCCCCTTTGAGCCCAGAGAGTAAGAACCCTTCTAGGCAGAGCCTAGGTAGGGAATCAACTTTTGGACGTCCGCGCTGATTTCTTGGATCTGCGCTGGACCTGCCAGACCATCATGCTCTGTGCCGGCGGCGGCAAGGGGACAGCGCAGTGCTGTTCAGGTAATGACCTATGCAGTTCACGTCAAAGTCGACGTAATCATACAAGCCTGCACACCTATCGTGCTTTGCAAGCCCCGTTCGGCATCGACGACGTGTGCATCAACGGGTCAATCCCA